AATTGTACATTCGTGGCGCGGCCTATTGCCATTTTGCAATACGCTGGTTGCGGGCAAACGTTACCGTTGTGATTTTCAATCAGGAGGCGGGATTCAGATCGGTACGCGTCATGCATATCATTTGCACACATTGGGCCTAGGAGGGATGCCTCCTGATGTATGCAAGATTCACCGCTAGCTACCTGTCCCCATATTTGAAGTCCAAATGACAATGGGGACAGAGAACCAGACTAACCTTGTGGGGTGCACACTACCAAAACCTGAAATGAGTGCGCGCAAGCTCATTAATATTTTGTGATTCCACAGGTAATTTGAATAAGAGGTACCTACGGCCTTTACTTGGGACATTTTGTAGAAAATTTCCTGGAGATCGCTCAAGCATTTGTGAGTTGGGGCTGCCAACTTAGAGATTTCGTTCACAAAAAGCCTTAACTTTGTGGGTCTATTTTGCATACAGGCGTGGGCTACATTTAAACCTTGGCCAAGAGATTGACAACCATTTTAGGGTCGTTTTTTGGGGAGGGGAATATAAAAAAAAAATTGATCCGGTTACCACCAACAACATTAAAAAAAGAAAAAATCTCAAGGGGGTCGAAATCTTTAATTTCCAGCGGCAAAAACCCTCGCCGCCTTGCTCCTGAGCGTCACCAGGCGGCGCTGTTTCTGTCCGATTTTGTGTTGCTTTTTATAAGGGTGCAGACCAGTAAATCGGTCCGAAATTGCCTGCGCCGGTGTGGACGGTAATTCTGTCCCCCGGTAAAAGTGTCCGGGGGGACAGAATTACCTAGGTAGAAGTGTCCCCCCTGTCCCGTTAATTCTGTCCCCCTCCAGGTAATCCTGTCCCCTCCAGTTAATTCTGTCCCCCCTGGTTTTGCACGCATAAGTTGTTATATTGATGTTATTATAATGAATTCAGCGCACAGGGTATACATTTTTAGATTTTTCCACCCTTCATCAATAATTATCAAAATGAAATTAACGTTTAGATGTTAATCGACCGATCTATGTTTCTGCAAGAAGGCACGCGTAGTAATACTCAACCTATCGCTAGCACGCGCACGCGCATCAGCCGCCGATACGCGTGTGACTGTCATGGCGGACTTCAATGAGGAGAATTCATTGATCTCCATCTGTGTATATGGAGATCAATGGGAGAATTGGCAAAATTATACGCGACACGGGTCACCGCCACTGATCTCTATATAAAGACTGGATAGCTAATAAAGAGCCGCACAATGTACGAATTTGACGCCATATTGGTGAGACCGGCTGGTGATCTACAAAGGACAAGTTGCCGTCTTTATAGACAGCTTGATTTCTTTTGTAACGTCGCGGCTCACTTGACTTATATTTTGGCCACCACCACTGACCAATTGACCAAGGTTTACTACAATTTTTCTAACGTAGTGGTTACTTTTATAATGCCGCAATCACTTTTTCGGCGTTTTTGAAATAATAATCACTACGGAAATGTGTTCCTTTTAGAACATCATAATATGTGTACGTGACCAAAATGCGCGTCAACTGTTGATACAACGCGCGCGTATTTACGCGTAGAACGTTCGTATTATACGCGGCCATCTTCGTGAGACCGGGGGCGAATTGGTCAATATGCAAAGTCTACTATGTGAATGTTGTATGCATATCCGCTATCCAGTCTTTATATAGAGATCAGTGGTCACCGCGCCGCAGGCCTGCTGCTGGTGCACTGTTGTCCCCGTCCCCGGCCGCGGCCCTGGCGCGGGCCGTAGGTGCAGTACACTCGCGCGCACGCCCACCATGCAAAGTCGTCATCAAAACGGGAGTTGTGCTTTGACGTAAGCACCATTCCCGAATTTAGCAAGGCGCCGCGCAAAAACAGTTAATAACTTCACTAATATACAGTCTAGGTGCTAGACTTGTGACGTTGCACGGGGACACATTTACCGGGGGGGGGGGGGGGGGACACATTTAACGTCGTGCAGGGGGACAGATTTACCTAGAGGGGGACAGGTTTACCTAGGTAAAAGTGTCCCCCCGGACAGATTTACCGGGTCACGACCCGGTAAATGTGTCCGGGGGGACACATTAACCAGGGGGGACAGAATTACCTGCCACACCGGCCAAATCACGATTTGCATGTTGTCAAATGTTTGCGGAGTGGTTTTTTTTTCAGGGGGGCGGAACCTGGGGGGGGGGGGGGCAGCGTTTCAAAAGGGGTCACCAATGGCGGTTCCGCAACAAATGCGCCCAAAATCTGAATAGGGCCGATGGACCGTCGTCCGATCACAGCAATTTTGAGCGAACAAGGGGGGGGGGGGTAATTTGGGGTCGGAAGGAGCAAAAACTCAATTAACGCCCGTTGGGGGCGCCCTACAGTAAGGTAGCCGCAAACAGAGGGCTTGTTTTCAGGCCAGAAATCGCAGTCAGAGATTTTGTTTCTTGCAATTTTTTGCTGAAATATGAGTCATCCATCCTTCCTCGTGCCGTACAAGTGGTTTGGGGAAATTTTTCAAAACCTCGCTTCTCTACAGGGTGCAGACCAGTAAATCGGTCCGAAATTGCCTGCGCCGGCCAAATCACGATTTGCATGCCCTCAAAATCTTCGGTATTTGGGCATGCTGTGGGCCATGAACTTGAGGGTTTGTAAAAAATATGGGTGGAAGCCGTGCACAGGACTGGGAACTTGCAGTTCTGTGTAATTTTGATGTAATTTGGACCCTAAAAGCGCTCTATTTTGCAATGGAGTGTAGGCATCGTTTTTCAAAATGGCGATGAGCTTCAGGACTATTTTCAGGGGTGATCATCTTCAGATGGAAATTTCTCCTAAAAGTCATCAGCTGACACCCCGAAAATTGAAAAGAAAATGAAAGATGATGAAATAAGCTTTAATTTGATGTGCGTCTTGAACACCTTGGAGAGTTGTGAGTATTTTTCCCGAATTTTTGAAGTGGGAGCATTTACCATTGGGGTCTATGGAAGTTTATTTACTGGTCTGCTACCATAAGCGCGTATGTGGTGTATTGGAACCATGGGGGGGGGGGGGGGTCTCCATGACATCACAAGAGGGCGCTAATCAATATCATCGTTTAAACAAATTGTGACTGATTGTGTTGTCTTCAAAATTTAATGTCTTCAAAATAGAATCGTGAGATGCTCAACTGTTGCAACACTGTGGCTCAAGTTCACTGTATGTTGAGCAGCCATAGGCCTTTCTTGTGTTTGTAAACATTGGCGCCATTTTGTATGGGCTGCCGTAAGCGCATATAAATTGAAGCCGTGGTTGGTAACACATTTTTCCAAAAAAGTCCTCACAACGCCATCAACACATAGTAAAAAGGCACATGTAGGAATTATTTTGTAGCTCTGATGAAAATGTTGTATTTTTAAGTATCAAATAATATTTTGGTGATCTGTAATACCTCTCGTTCATTTTTGCAGTGTTGGACCTTCCATACTTTTGCAGGCCTTGGTTGGCAAAAATGCAGTTTGCCAACCTACCGCAGAAAGGTCTATTACAAAGCAATATTAGGGCGCCCTCTCTCATTGCAAAAACTCATCGCAAGGTGGCGCTGTACAACCGAGCCTGAAATTTCTGAATTATCATTTCAGAGCGTTGCGTCAGATCAGACTAGAATATTGCACCATCTATCTGGCTAAAGTATAACATAATAAATGTTGGTAATCATATTTAAGGTGAACGGTGGCTCAGAGGATCGGAATAAGAGACTAAGGCATATTTTCTCTTCGCCCCAACTCACAGTTAGGTTTGAGACCGGCTGGGTAATTTCGACACTGACCTTTTTTTTTTTAATTCATTAGCGGCGGGGGAGGGGAGGGAGCAAAATGCTCAAGATAAGCTTCAAGAAGACAAATGTCACACTTTTTATTTTGGCAAGATAATGTTTTGAATTGCAACTGCTCATTTACCGATACACTCCCGCACATTGATCCACATTTTGATACCGAATGTGTGCTAGTAACATGTATCACTCAAACATAAAGCAAGCTTCTGTGCCCAACGCAGCCGCCTCGTTATTAGAAAATAATCAGGCAGGCATCTGTTTTCATTGCAGCGCCGTATAGTAAATGAATTGTAAAAAAAAGGTTACTTCCGGTACCCGTTCGTTAGAGGGCGCAGCATCTTTATTATTAGACCTTGGCCAATTGATGTCTCAAAAGAAAGACTCGGTTTCAAATTTAATTTCGCGTAATATTTAAAGGGAACATACATCATTTGCTTTTACTGTAATTTTCAGAAATGGATGGAATTGGGGGGTTGGAAATATATAGCAAATATAGCTACACTGACTTTTTTGAGGTTTTGGGTTCGAAAATGCTATAAAAACCAAGAAAAACAATCATTTTCCTGTAGTCTGGTTCCCTGACTCCATATAAGAAGAAACAGAGCAGTTTACATACATTGGGGAATTGTAAGGTCAGGGAACCAGTCTAGCTGGCTTGTACCCGTTCTTAGGTGTGTAATCGATTGCAAACAAGTGCGAAGGTCAATTGGGGCCAGTATTTGAAAAAAAGCCAGTTTTTTCCAACGCTGATCGGCCGATCAGCGTTGGAAATTGATACAAAAATAACACTTTTCTTGAAAATGACAGTATACCAGGTGCCATGATTTTACAGGATGCTTTACACTGTCATTCACTAACAGTCCAGCAAGGTATTTCAAAATGATTTGGTAGTTTTATTTTTTGATGTTTGCAAATGTTGTATTTTCCCTTTAAGATACGGATCAATAATAAATCGAATCAGATAAACTTTGTTTATAAGCAACTTGCTGTAAACAAAATTAATGTGCGCATCGAGCGATTAGTTATAAATTGGTGAAATTTCAGCACTACGTCAGAGCTGAAAGAAACGTGAAGGAAGAGATAGGGGAAAGGTGTTTATTTCGAACAGACATAAAAGAGTTGACTCAATTGACACACTGATAGATTTTGAGGGGCAAAACGCCAACGAATGAAGATGTCCGGTTTTTTTTTAGCGTTGCAAACTTTCTGATCTATATGACTGTCGGGGTATTTCAAACTCTGCTAGCCGTCCGTCCTCCCGGCTGGTTGGCCTGGCAAGACGCCTGTTACATCTTGCTGCCTGACAAGATGAATTGGTGGCAAGGTGAGGATGTTTGTGACCGGCCAGGGAGCAGCCTGGTCGTTCCTGATTCGCAGGAAGAACAGGACTTCATCTGGCGGGAAATGAAGGCGAGGATACAGGCATTTGGGGCCAACATCTCAAGTGACCTGGAACTGTGGATTAGATGCCGCGATGTCGACAACAAAGGGGCGCTTTCGTGCTATGGTGTCGATGGGGATCCCGACTACAAAAACTGGGGGCATGATGAGCCAAATAAATTTGAACATATTTGTGTCCGAATGGCTGAGAAGTTCAACGGTCAGTGGGGAGACATACTGTAACGCGCGCAAATTAAAGGTTGCTGCGAAACTTAAATTTTCGGGCCGTTTGTCACCCTAACAAGCAAAAATACTATGAAGAAAACTCTGTAAAACTTAGTAATAGAATTCGAAAAGAATTTAATCAAATTAAACAATTAAACCAAATAAACAAATAATTAAATCAATCAAAATGTTAAATGAAAAGTAAACAAATAAACGCTTAACTGGGTATTAATCAAGTAAACGGAATAACAAGGAACAAAATTAAATCCAAAACAAAACACCGAGAAATATCAAACAAATTATGTTACAATTCACCTGTCTTCAACTCTTCAACTTAGGCCTAATTCCTCAAATCAAATCTTCAAATCAACTTTCCAAATCAAATCTCCAAATAATACTTCAAATCAAATCTTCAATCAATACTTAACAAAGTATGGTGGGCCCACCAATATTTTCGCGAATCACGCGTTGTCAGCTCCTCCGGTTGGTTCCCGGTTGTCCCTTGGACTTGAAGACCTTGAACCCTCCAGAGACTGGGCAGCTTTCCGTCTCAGTTGCTTCAAGCAGGCGCCGTCTGTGCTTCGGCTCGCCGTGTTGCTTGGCCGGGGTAGGGTTCTTCTTGATCGGGAGCTTCAATACGGGCCCATCAGGCTATGCCAGATAACGCCTTGCTCTGGCGTACTGACCCTGACCTGAGCCATCTGAAATTTATAATTTCAAAACCTAAAACGTCTATTTTCTATAATAATACTCACTTCTACTAATTTAAAGAGCATATTCCATATTTGGCCAACCAAATCATAAAAATAACCGTCATCTGCGCAGACATAATCTGTGACGTCATCTTTCTCAAAATTCCAATTAAACTTCAAATAAAGTTATCGATTCTCAAACCATGATCCAATGACATAATCTATAATTAAATCGACCAATAAGTGATCCAAAATTCTAATGAAAACTAAGAAAGTCATATGACGTCATAAAAATAACTACAGGTACGCACATCGGTGCTAACTGAAACTATGTCTCATTAGATCATAAATCAAACGTCAATTTTCTCAACAAAATATAAACAAAATTCGCTAAAATCAAGAATCTGGTATTTATGTTACTCAATAAAACTACTCACGGTAGATCGAGCAGATCTGCCACCTCAAAAGTGGAAAATTTCTGGATCCAAACTCAACAGTTTTGGAGTAACCGTGACTTGCTATTGCGATCGCAAAGTCCTCTGGCATTCGCGCGATATCTGCAGCATTCCAAAGCCAGCGGGTGAAAAGCACTCTTTGCATAAGAATCACTCGCTTTCACTTTCTGCACTCACACTGACACACTGGATCATACCATGGCTCAATCAACAATAGGAAGAAGAACAAATACAACGTACACAGGTGTTTACATTGATAAATCTTTATTTACAAACAAAATAGACTTCGCCAGTCTCGCTTAGGAAACATTTAACACAGTACGGAGAAGTTCTATTCGCTAAACATAAGTAATATGAATAAAAGTATAGGAAATTCACATCAGTTCTGACACATACCATGCAGTGGTTTGAAATACGCCGCTTGTGAGATGCGCACCTCTCGTGTCTCGTTCTCTATGCCGACCAATGCTGACGCCCATTGCCCGCCACACTGTCTGCTCAACCACGGGATCAAGAACCTGACGACAGGAGTTACCGGATGTGCCTGGGCATGCTGGGAGGAGCCTCGTTGCCACTTCTTCAATCTCTGGCAGAAGAAGGAAGAAAACGTTGGAATCTGTCAGCTCAACAATGCATCTCGCCTACAGGCCGCTGCCAAAGATTATAAGTACGTGGAGAACTGCTACTTCGACGAAATGTAACAATTAGAAACTTAAGCACGTACTCAAGAGGCAGTGGCGTAGCCAAGGGGAGGGGGGGGGGGGCGTTGGGGGCGACAGCCCCCCCATAAAACCTTGTCGCCCCCCCAGTCGCCCCCCCCCCCACTAAGATTTTGAGTTTCTAAATAAAATTATCATTGATCTACATGACGCCCCCCATGAAATGATCCACCACCCCGCGCCCCCCCCCCCCCACTGAAAAATTCCTGGCTACGCCACTGTCAAGAAGCCTACGCATTTCGAGATTTGTCTCATATTCTTTTAATTTGTGTGTGCTTCCTTTTCATATTGGATGTGAATTACTTAACATTTAACTTTGAATGGACACTAAAATGGGTAGCTGCATAGCTGTGGACAATATCGTTTCGAGTTTAAGAACTGGAGAACAACAGTAATATTTAACAGTTCAAAATAAGTATCAATGACGTCATCAATTCTTTTACGCGCAAGTAATAGAGGTGATATAACTTCTTTCATCAGCAAAACGAAAACAATTCATACAGGGATGAATGTAAATTGTTTTCGTTTTGCTAAAAGAACACTTACTTTTTTTTTGTGATCCGTGGACAGAACTTTAAAATGGTGTTTGTGTTTAAAATCCCGTAACTTGAAAAGTACATGAGTAATTTAAGTGGATCTTGTACTGAAAAAACCCTGATAAATTGGGCTTTCTCACCCGAGATTTTGGAAGTGCTTCATGCAAAACTCAGCTTGTTTATTTGGTAGATCAGAAAATAAAAAAAATGAGAAGCTACCGTTAGTGTAGAAACTTTACTAAAATGGTCCCGACATTTAGGTTTCTTTTTTTTACTCAGCTTGTTTATTTGGTAGATCAGAAAATAAAAAAAATGAGAAGCTACCGTTAGTGTAGAAACTTTACTAAAATGGTCCCGACATTTAGGTTTCTTTTTTTTACTCAGCTTGTTTATTTGGTAGATCAGAAAATAAAAAAATGAGAAGATACCGTTAGTGTAGAAACTTTACTAAAATGGTCCCGACATTTAGGTTTCTTTTTTTTACTCAGCTTGTTTATTTAGTAGATCAGAAAATTAAAAAAATGAGAAGCTACCGTTAGTGTAGACCCTTATAAACCTTGTCTTAAGACACTTAATTAAATTGCACCACCAGTCTTTGAAATAACCAGCGAAAGGACAAGTGAAATAAACACTGTGTAGCGCCACCAAGAACTTGACAATGGCGAATGTGTACACCCATGCGTCCTCACTATACACACACTAAGGTTGTGGAATGCTCGAAGACATTTCCGTCATTTTTGGGTATATGTAGCCTAAGGTGTGATGAAATAAAAACGACTATTGTTTCTGTCATGAAATAAGTACAAAGGGTACTTTTGAGAGCTATTTTTCAGGTCCTGTTTCGACCCGAACGTGCAATTTGTGTAAAAGTTGTCGTTGCAGGCAGCAAACAAAACACAGTAAATCGTGACGTAATAAACAGGACTCGTTTATGCTACTCTGCATCGGGAGTCCTGTTTATTACGTCACGATTTACTGTGTTTTGTTTGCTGCCCGCAACGACGACTTTTACACAAATTGCACGTTCGGGTCGAAACAGGCATGACAGGACTTGAAAAACAGCTCTCAAAACTACCTTTTTTTGCACTCATTTTATGACAGAAACAATAGTCGTTTTTATTTCATCACACCTTAGGCTACATATACCCGAAAAATGACGGAAATGTCTTCGAGCATTCCACAACCTCTTTAAGGACTGGATTGTGTGGTTTTCAGTAGATTCTTGTCACATTGTCTGGTTGACAGAATTTGAAGCTTATTCGCTAGAATGTGCTATCAGAAGGCTTGTTCCTTGGCTAAAATAGTCATTCATGTCCATCAATTTTCAATATGATTATATTCAACAAAAAAACACCAGTCAGTCGGCTCCCGCAACTACGGCGATCCATGAGTGCCATCCACTACTTTATATTCTCAGATAATTTATCACGTCATGTTGACATATCGCCGAGAGTAAGGCGACTAAATCACATTGTATCGCCAAGTCGACTTACCGAAGTCGACTTGACGACTTGTCCAGATGTATTATCTTGCCAAGTTCACTTTTAATTTAGGGAGCGTCTCAAAAGTCTGAACAGGAACGTTCCGTTGGACTGTTCCATCGGACCGTTTCAGCGTTCCGTTGGAACGGTCTGTGTGCCCGTCGGAACGGCGAACGGTCCGTTGGACCGTTCCACCGTTCCAGCGGAACGGTCCTTTGGACCGTTCCGCTGGGCACATGTGCCCGTCAGAACGTTCCGCTGGGAACGCGAACGGTCCAGATGGGATATCCGTAATTGGGTATCATGCGCCCATCTTAAAATGTTTTCTTTCGTTTGTGATGGCGATGAGGTAAGTTGTTTAAATAGATAAGTTAGGCCTAATGTTATAAATTTGCAGTGAAAAAAAAGTTTACAGTAATCTGGGTTTCGATTCAATAAAACATGAGACCCAAACGAGAAAAAAGTTTGTTTCTGTGACACATCTTCATTAACCGCAAGATTCGCGCGCGACAGCAACTGAAGCCTTTTTCAGTCATTGTACATGTAGATGTACATGTACATATAACAATACATGCACACTTCGGCGAGTATTATTTCCTCTAGCAGACCGTTCCGGCGGATCGTTCCGATGGAACGTTCCGCCGGGCACATATGCCTTGAAAAATATGGAACGGTCCGACGGAATGGTCCAACGGAACGGCAGTTGTGGCAGTTCAACTTAACTTGATGTATATGCATTATTAAATAACATTGCTAGAAATTTATTCCGACACCGAACTTAATATTTACATTTATCAAAATGCGGCGCGCGGAGGCAATTGAAGGTTGTGTCTCTTTTTCTGATGTTCGTAAAATATCCAAAACCTAAGCAGCTCGTTTATTTCAATAATGATATCATTATAGAGTTTCTTTGAATGAAAAGGTTATTGTTGTAGTGCGTATACGGCAATTGTCATCAGGGTGATTCAAAATGCAATCAAGTTTGATGCACACATTTGATATACAATGAAGTATGTCTTAACAGAGCATGTTCTTCCACTCATCTGAACAAACACATACTAATATTTATTCATGCCAACATAAGTTATGTATGTTTTACTAAAAGAAACCATTTTTATAGCTGTCCATTGAGTGC